GTAAAATATGTCCGTGCTCAATAGACTTCAGTGCATCATATGTTCAAGTTTTTCCAGTTCATTCCTATCGAGTCTGTCTGAAGCATCTTGCACAAAAGCAAAAAAATGCTGTGTTGGGTTCAATGCAACAGGCTCCACCAAGAATTGCTTGTTTTGCTTTGCCCGTCATCCTTCCTGAGCTCTGTCAGTTTCCTCATCTCTCAAGGCGATGTATCTGGAGAAGTTTGGTTCTGGAATGGTCTAATTGGTTTATGCATATAGGGCATAGCCACAAAGGTGAAGATGCCTACCAGCATTAAAGCCACAGTGATTGTGATGATGGCTGCAACAACGGCATAATAGCACTGATTGGAATTCATTATCCTTCTCATGCGACCCCTCATCCTGCTTGGCGGCCTTCCCACATCGATCATAGTCGCCTGGCCAAGACCTTCCTCCATGACTCCAAGCGGGTTACCGCCGGCCTGCTCCTCTTTCTTCTTCAACACCGGCAAATTTAAGGAGGTCTTAATGGAGCTGTTTGGTGGAGGATTCTTGAGAATGAGTTTGCCCTTGCTGCGTTTAAATCGCACAGAAAGCACCCGTTGCATCTCAGCCGGAAGTTTGCGGAAGATGTCTTTGTTATTTCCTAACTGTGGTAGATCTCGGCCGTGTCGGATTTCTGTCAGCTCCCGACAGATCGGACAAGACAACGTCTTGATCTCTGGAGAATTCACGTTGATGCGCGCCAGGCATTCCAAGCAGAACGTGTGTCTGCAGGAGAGTAACTTTGGAGCTTTGAAGACGTTGTCGAAGCTGCAGAAGCACACAATGCACTCTGTGTCCTGCAGGTCATCTCTGGGTTGCTCGGTCTTGTGGCGTCCAGGCTCAGGGTCGCGGTCTCGCCTCCTTCCCTCCTCGCTGCGACCCCGTTGTTGCCTTCCTCCCTCTTTCTGGCCCCGTTCTCTACCTCGGCTACTTTCTCGACACCGGTTTTCCGCATCATTGCTGCGGCTTCTCCTAAGAGGCTTCTGTTTCTGTCGTTGCTCTGAAGTTCCCAGGTTGAAGCTGCCCTTGCTGTCAAGCTTCAGCTTGACGTTGGGCCCTTTTTTGCTGCCCTGGGGTTTCTCTTTGCCGTCGCTCATCATGTAGAGCCTTAGATTCACAGGAGCAGATTAAGAGAAAAGGGTAGTGTTGAGCAGATAAGTCTGTGATGGAAGATGGAGAAAACACTATCAGTCTAGGTTACAAATACACTCCATATCATGCTTTAGAAGAACCATTTTGGGTTCCCAAAAAAACTTTCAGTTTTTTAGTGTGAAGAACATGTAATAATCCGAAGAACCTTTAGTGCAATGGAAAGGTTTCATGGATGTTAAAGGATTTTCATGGAACCGTTGATGCCAATAAAGAACCTTTATTGAACAGTTCTTAAAAGAACTAATCTAAAGGACCCTTTTACACAATGAAGAACCTTTTGTGCAATGGAAAGTTTCCATGGATGTTAAAGGCTCTTCATAGAACCATGTCAATAAAGAACCTTGTACAATCAATGGTATTCAAAACAGTCACATGATTTCATTACAGCTCTGGAACAGATTTAAACTTCTGTGACTTAAAAGTGTGGCATGACCTTTAAGAGCTTGTGTATTTAACACTCTGGAGTTACATAGCTGTATGTAAACTAAGACTGTAAACTAAATTGTACCATTAGCAGTCAAATGTGACGAGAACAGCAGTTTAGTCAGTCATACACTAGTGGTTATTGCTTGTTTTTCTTTTTATTCCATTATAGGCCTTGCATGGCTCTAAGTTTGCCCCAACGGTCATCTTTTATATTTGAAATCGTTAACCCAGGGTTATTCTTAACCCTATCAAGCCTACTGTGTCATATGTGATACGCAAATGCCTCTAAGTTATCAATATGATCAAAACTTTGCTGAGAAACCTGTTTTGTACAATCTACTAATAGTTTCTATTTTTAACAATGTTGTATCCAATATGATACTCAACAAAAACACACATGCATATGTTTTTTTTTTTTTTTAGATTTTTATATTTTGTCTAAAGTTTTAACAAGCTCTTCTATTTCAAAGAAATAGATTTGTCTGACTATTATTTCATATGCAGGGTTAACATAATTTTGAGTTATCTTGTTCCATGTTTTACACTGTTCATAAGTATCTTGGGTTAGGAATTAACACACTGTAGATTTGTAAACCTCAGGCTACTGTTCTTATTTGCATGTTTATGAGGTTGATAACACTGAATGAACATGAACTGAGTGCACAACCTGTGGGAATTTTGCCTGGTCAATTCGCACTTAACTTACAAAAATAATACTCATGACATTTTTACCTTCCTCACATGCTGAAACTACATGCTGCATGTGAAAGTTTCTGTTACTGTGCAAAGTGCATGCATATTATGAGGTAGTTTGTAATCACCTGTTGCTAAACAGCATGTCTATCCATTTTAGCACTATATTGTTTCAGTGCTAACTAACTGCCTTTCAAATTGACAGATTAACCCAGAATTAGTTTGAAAATCCCAATAGAGTGTTTGACCTAAACTCTGAAGTCTGACTGTACAGGAATGCAAACCAGAATATCAAGGTTTTACAACAGGGTATTTCATTCTGTATGCTTATGGTTAAGCTTTAACTCTGAGTCAGGTCATGAAAGTCAGGAAATAGGAATGTCTCATAGCAAACAAGTATGATTATTGAATATGACTTGTAATATAAGTAAAATCTAGGTGGAATCAAATAGTCCAAAATGTAAAGGTTTTACCCACTGGCCATTTAAAGCACAGTCTGCTTTTATCAAAACATTCATTTTCAGGTGCATCAACTAATTGAGCCACACACAGAACAGGTTCTTTTTCAGAACATGTTGGTATAATTAATATATTTTGGACTAGATGACTTCCCAAATTGAAGGCACACACCCACATATTTAGCACAAACCAGATAAAGTCAGTTGAGACCTGTCACTAATTTAGACAATAACACACCCTACATTTACAGGCGACACCGGGGCTAGTTGTCACACTGAAGGTTTGTTTTTGAAAGTCAATTGCTTTTAAAAACACAACTTAAAGAAAAAAGTCTTTGCCACTATAATTTCCCAAAAATAATCAGAGAAGATATAATTAATTGAATGCACCAATAGCAAGGCATGTTTTCACATTGAAATAATATAATTAATCAGCTTATTAAAAGCTTTTTAAACAGGAAAAAAATTATGAAACACATTACAATGAAAAACATGACAATATATGCAAACAAATATGATTTTGGAATTTTAGTTTGTAGGACAGAATTCTCAAAAATTATTCAAATTCAATAGGATGTTTGACACCAACTTACAAAACAACTACCAGAGAGCATATTTTTGTAACTGGACTCAAAGTTGACTCAAAAATGTTTTAAATATAGCCATGTGACATCTACCCCCCTTTTTTTTCTTCTTTTTTTTTACCTGCATTTGTAAACTGACTAATTATTACTCTACATTTGCATACTGACTAATCATTTAAGATCACATCCTTCAAAATGAAAAGTGATTCTTTTAAAGATAAAACATGTTTAAAAACATGCAACTACCTATGAGCTGAAGAGCAGCTGAACCCAGATGTTCATGTGCCTCTGAAGTTCGCCTGGCTCCAGAAGCACATATTCCAGTCTAGGTGTGCATTCAGCAAAGCAGTGAGAGGTGTGCAATCCAGTTCTTTCTGTCGTCCTCAGTCTTCTCACTAAGGTTGTCATCATCTGTTAGATAACGTAAGCAACGTGTCTCCACCTCTTTGCATATCCCTCCCTCTTTCCTTTGACCCTGTCATACCTGTTGAACTCGCTCAGGTGCTATTTGAACCGGCTTGCGTTTGAATGCGAGGAATCCACTGACCTGTGTTTTATTTTTTTCGACATATCTGCTGACCTTGAATGAAACGGAATCAAACAAGTGTGGATATCAATGCTCTAAATATCTATGCGAGTCATGTTTGATCATGCAAAATTCAGACATGATGCAAGGGCTGCAGGGATGTTGCTAGGTGGTTAGTTACTAATCCAAGTCAAAAGAGACCACCAAATTCTCCGTAACAACACATAATTATGTTTCCTCATTTAACACAACTACACGTGCACTTGGGATGAGAGTCGTGTTGGTTGTTTGAAGATATTCCTGTTGTAATGGAGACAAATTCTCTAACAAATCACAAGTCCACGTTTTTCCTACTAGAACTGGAAATATTCACCATTTAGATGGGAACAATAAGGACGTTTATGAAGATCTCAGGAAGTCGATGATAAATTAAGTCACTAGGTTAATGTTATTCTCTCTCACACACTGCCTGATAAGTGAGAAGGAAGCGCTCTCCCATTCCAGCATATGAACATTTTATGTGCGTATTGATGATAAAGGCTTATACCTTTTGTTGTGTTGTAAATTACTTTATACCCGTCATAGCTGCACCTTCATCTTGTATTAAGAGTTGTTGTCAACTCACTGTTGCCATTACTGATTCGGTGAGAAAGAGAAACAATGACAGAAGAGCAACTTTAGATGATTAGATAAGCCGTATGCAAAATACACATGGCTGCATCAGATTTTCAAACTGTTTTTAGAGGGAACATGCGGTGTTGTGGTTAACTCTAGTTGCATTGTTTGAACAAAGCAAGGTATGGAAGCCCGTTTCTCCCATGGAATAAAAAATAAAAAGGTAACTGCAACTTTAATCACACAATTTTGACTTGTTTTCTTGCAACTCTCAGAAAAAAGTCACAATTGCTAGATAAACAGAATTGTGAGATATAAATTCAGAATTGTGAGACAAACTCGCAACTCCAAGAAAAGTCTGTATGTAAAATACATTTTCTCAAGATATCAGGTCAGTTCACATATGCGAGACACAGTACAGTGGAATTTAAAAAAAAAAAAACATTCAAAAAGACCGAACATGGAATTTGAAAAACCCTTCAAAAAGAACACAAAATGCAATACAGAATCTGAAAAACCCCTTTGAAAAGAATGTAAAACAGCACGATTTACACAGAACAAATATTTTTTTCTTATTCCCCTACTGTTTTTCAATAGTTTTTCTGTATGCACTACACAGACGTGTTTGTTTCTTTTTTTAAGTTTTAAGTTCAACTTTTAAAAAATGCATATCTTTTTTTTTTTTAATACCATTATATTACTGTCTCGTATTTAATTGCAAAATGCATTCTCTGTGAATCACACTTAAGTCATGGCCTAGTTTACATCCAAAAACTTCATTAAAATCTGGTGTTATTTTGGATCACATAGTCATAAACGCAATAATATAAACAAATGTGACCATATAATATTGTGGCAATCATTCTAATGAATTTCTGGTTAAGGAAAAACATTTCTATTGACAATTAGTTTTACAACATTAGCTACTCATTGACCAATGGCTAATTTCAGCTGTCCTTTCTGTTCATCTGGGAGCTTTAGGGGGAAACTACAAATGACTGGAAACGACCAATCATTGACTGCTGGCTATATATTAAACTATCTGAACTTTTCAAGGGACAGAATTGTTTTTTTTTTTTAGTAAAAAATAAAAACAGCTCTTGGATTGAGATGATATATTCACACTTGAATATTCAAACAAACTGCAGGGTATGCCTGTTGTAACACATTAACATTTCTGTATTAATAAAAACATTTTATCGCACAATCCTGTCCTTTTATATTGATGTATCAATCAACGGTAACCATTGCCTTTGTCTCTGAAATGTATCCATATTACTATCTCTATTTTGAAGTATGACAATTTCCTCCTGGTTCTCTTCCCTAAACATCATGTATTTTAGACAATTACCTGAGGCGCAGGTTTAGCATAACATATCACTGAAAACATCTTCTCTGTGTATTTATGAAAACACTGTTGTCTTAATTACCAACAACAGCATGACCTTTGATAACATCCTTATTTTGATCCACATCTCTTTAAATAGTTTCAGAGTTCATATCAAATATATGTATATAAATAATAAAAACACCACGTGTATACTTGTAATCAAAAATATATTTCCTCATTCAAACACATGAAAACAACTTCAGCTGAAACATAAAAATGAGGAGTCTCCAAAACACTTCACACAGATACATCGAGATGGTCCTCACTGCAGAACACAAGATCCAGGGGGCGAGGTTGGATCCAGATCCAACTCCTCCCACCTTACATATACCTAAACCTACCTGTCTCCACCCCCTGATCCCTAAACCCACCCATCTCCACCCCCTAGATGTGGATCCAACCCCGCCCCCTGGATCTTTGTTCTGCAGTGAGGGGCTACTGGATACATCTGATAATTTCCCATTGAACACTGATGGAGCTTCTCAGATCGCTGATCTCCTGTCTGTAGAAATATTGTCTGGAAGGGTCTCTTCCTCGTCTGATCTCAGGATCAGCCCAGCTCTTCACGGGCTTTGCCTTGTTTGCGGGGCATCTTCTTACTGCTGCTGTCCTCCAGTTCTTTGTTCTTGTAATAATGAGGAGCCACTTCCAACAGCCAGCCACTTTCAATCTCGATCACCTGAAAAACAGATAGAACATTTAGAATAAAGCATATTTTTACATTTTCTGAAGAAATATTAAGTGCTTGCCCATGCGAAACTTGCTGACAATACTGTAGGGTAGTTTTGGTTGTTGCCAAATCATTACTATGTGGTTTCTAAGGTGCTAGGAGTGGATTTTAGTGTGTTACTATGTGGATAAGTTGTTGCTTACAGACTCAAGTAAAAAAGAACCAGTCTGTTCCAATGCCTAACCTTAAAGGGATCATTCACCCAAAAATGAAAATTCTGTCATTAATTACTCATGTGAACACACGTCGAAGACTGACACGAAAGCGAAGAAATCGCTGAATAAAGTCATTATTTTTGTTTTCTTTGCGCACAAAAAGTATTCCCGTAGCTTCATAAAATTATGGTTGAAACACTGATCTCACATGGACTATTTTAACGATGTCCTTGCTACCTTTCTGGGCCTTGAGCGTGGTAGTTGTGTTACTGTCTATGCAGGGTCAGAAAGCTCTCGGATTTCATCAAAAATATCTTAATTTGTGTCCCGAAGATGAACGAAGGTCTTTGGAACGACATGAGGGTGAGTAATTAATGACAGAATTTCATTTTTGGGTGAACTATCCCTTTAATATCCACCAAAAGTATTTTTTTGTCCATATTGTCAATGGGTGTCAATGGGAACCAAAACAATTTGGTTACCACCATTCTTCGAAATATATTATTCTGTTCCAAAAAGAAAATAATGACATGAAGGTTAGTAAATAATAGCAGAATTGACATTTTTGGGTGGACTACCCCTTTAATATGATGCTTGGATGCGAAAACATTAGTGATATCAGACTAAAAAGACGAAAGAAGTGAAAGAAGAGAAAAAGTGAAGGGCGACTCCATACCTGTCTCATGAACTCTTTGGTGGTGAAGACCAGCTCGTGGTAGATCATCCAACGTGGCTGTTCCTCGAAGAGTGAGCTGTTGGGATGGACGAAAACAGTCTGCTGGTGTTTGACTGTTTTATATCCCCCTTTACTCAAGCGTGCCGTGTGGTAGAAATATCCCGCAGTCACAGCCTGGAAGAAAATGAAAGAAAATCACATTTAGATCATAAGCTGGTGAAGTTGTACTATAATGTATTGATATTTCTTTTTTTTACACATCTCTAGAAATACTTGGTTTCAATTAGACAGTAGTGGCATTGAGTGAAATATTTTTCATAATGATCACTAAACTACATAACTGACTGATTAAATTTTGCAATAATTAAATTGCTGCTGAAATCTGACAAAAAATAGGATGTGTGCACTGTTACTCATACCACAAATGATTCTTAGTCACCTAACCTGGATTCATCAATGCCAAATACCTTTAAATATACAAAATCATCTGGTAAAATGCAGCAACACACAGTCAGCAAATATATAAGTATTCAGCTATTGTGTTAGTCTGAATGTTGAAATACTCTGATGTGAAAAATCACTGTCTCTTAAATACTGATGATTCATAGTGACGCTAGTCTCTCACAGAACAGGAAGTACTAAAAGCCACACATGAGAGACACATATTTACTCTTGAAAGGTGATTTCGTTAAGTTTGTTTGAATGTTCCGTTCAATATTCTTCCCTCACAAAAAAGCATTGTAACCTAGATTGAAAAAACATGTTAACCTTGGGTTAAGCGCAATGTGAAAAGCCCTAATGAGACAAGCAAGCACTTACCTTAATAGTAAAAATGCAAATTGTGCCACAAATTCTACTTCAGTGTTTTAAGCCGGTAAGGGCCACAAGTAAAAACCATCTTAAAACTTAAAAGTTAATTCAGTCTATAAAGCTAAACTCAGGTTCATAAAGTCGAGATAGCAATCACATGCAAAGCAGCAAGCTTCTGCACAAACACAGTATCACTGGAGGAAATGTGAGAAAGAAAGTGAGGGGGAATAAGGAAATCACCTTGCGAATGGGCACACTCTCACCGCTGCAGCTGGACAGTTCCACTTCTATCCGGTCCATCAACCCCTCCAGCTGATCACGAACATCTCGAGCTCTCTTCATGGAGCGAAACTGGATGAAGTTCTCGAAGCACCACTGAGTGGAGTAACCGCTCTCTACCCACTGACAGAGAAAGAGAGAAACTATTGAATGCATTTTATTTTCTGGCAAACAAAAACTGTGCATGCAACAACAAACAGCGCGAGCAGTGAAGCCTAATTCACGAACAAATGATTCATTCTTTTTAC